ATCCCTGCTATTGTAAAGTGTCTACACCAAACCACAAGTTAAAAACCTACCGTCACTTTTTAGGTACAAAGATTGACTCTTCTAAAAAAAGGAGTAATTTAGTTCCTAATAATTTTGAAAGTAAACAATTAAAGATAATTTAGTCACGACTTTAATGATATCTCGCCTCCTTATCCAATATAAACTTAATCACTATTCGTCACCATTCATAAGTATAATTTACACATTCCATATTTAGTCCTATATATATGTGTGTCTGGTAATGATTAATGTATTCAAAAGTACTATTGAATTGGATTTTACATAAATTTTATTGACATAATAATAAATTTAGTTAAAAAGAAAATAATTATGTTATAATTGATGCTAAATATATATTCTTATATTACTTTATGATTTATAAATTTTCATAAAAATATAAACGAATTCATTTTCATTAAAATTTAAACTTCATTAAGGTCTATATTTTTCTTAATTTTCTACCTATAAGATGACGCATGTTATTATCTTATTGGAAGACATTAAAAGTAAAATGATGATTAGATATGCCACATTAACTGCCCATTAATAATAATTGATGCCACTTCAATAAGTGAAGCTGGAAGAGTTGATGGAAGGCAAGAGGTAATTGTTGATGTAATCGTTGCTCCCAAACACCAAAACTGCTACTGATTTGCCCAGGAAATTTTTCAAATTATCTCTCCCCATCATCGTTCGTAGTTGATCCAATGTTGTTTCGAAATTCAGCACTTCTTGACTTAGGATATACCTTTGCCCCTACACCGATTCAGGGACGGACGTAAGATTTTAAATAAAAAATTAAATTATAAATTTTAAGAGATAAAACTAAAAATTAATAAAGAATATAAAGAAATTAATTAAATTATATGAAAATTAATAAAGTTTTAAAAGAACAATTGTCTCGTGATTTAGTTTATAACATTACACTCGCAATCAGTTTATCTATGACATTTGATTAAATAGTGATTTTGGTTTCTATTATATTTTTAGAATATTTTGACCTATTAACATTTTATTTTTGGCAAAATACATCTAATGTTTGATTAAATAGTCACTCTTTCTCTCTTTTTTTTTAAGTATTTTGACCATTAACGTTTCATTTAGAGAAAAGAAAGTCTCTATTTTAGAGCATTAATCGTTTGTTGACTACAGTTTTCATATGCAAAAGGGCATTCTTATCCAAAAATAAAACGCTATGGGTCAAAATGCTAAAAAAAAGATAGAAATTAAAATAACTATTTGATCAAATATTAGGTACATCTTATAACATTATGTCAACTTGTGTGAGCAAAATACATACATAATGTTGGCCACTCTCATCAAGAATACCAGCAGCAGCTGAAGCATAATTCACTCCTCCAAGTAATTTAACTCCTCTTGTGTTGGGATCAGCAAAGGCTGAAGGATAAGGGAGACTCAACATCTCTCCTACATAAACACACATATAAATTATCATATCATATACAATTTCATGCTCATATCGGTACTAAAAGAAAGAGAGTGATGTAATAACATACCAATGATGTCAACAAAGGTCTTCCCATTAGAAAACCTTCCTGTAGGCTGCATATTGAAATCAATGCCATAAGGAAAATAGTTAGATTTGGCAATCGAGTTGAGGAAATTGTTGTTGCCAACATCGACCAATGAGTCTCCGAACACGAAAAGTGCTCGTTGTGCCGCCGCATCGTTCGAGTGTTGAAGAACCAAAATAGCAAAGGAGATGAACAACGTTAACTTGGGTTGGTGAAGAATACCCGTAACTTCAAAATATGGATGTGGGAAGAGAATAACTGAAGTTTTATTGTCTATAGATAGGTTTAGCTTTTCATGTGAACAAAACATAAGGGTGAAGGAGAAGATGGAAATGTAATTATATAAATCCGTTTTACAAGTGGGATGTAACAGAAGAATATGAGTCCATGAAATATAGCTTTTTGCCCTTGTTTTTGGGTGCTCCTTTCAAGGGCCGTTTCTTTTTTTCCACAATCACTACGTATTTTATGTCGTTTTTTTTTTCAAGTGATTGAATGGTGTTGTATTTTGACATATATATATAGTATAGGGTAAATTACATAAATAGTACCCAGCTATATGTTGCTTCTTTGTTGAATTTTTGACTAGTAAAAGTTACATAATGGTTCTCTGATTGTATGACATTGTTTTGTTAAGTCTTTCGACTATTAAAAGTTACAAAATTATCAATTGACTATTCATATATTTCAAACTCGTCATTTTATGTTTTAAAATTTACAGTTGTCTGAGTTAGATGTTAATTTATTAAACAAGATATGATAAAATATGATCTTAACCGTTGCTTTCTAGCATTGGCTCGATAATATAATGTAAACAAAGATTCGATCCACAAAATATAGCTCAAACAGTTATGAGATCAAATTTTATCATATCTCAATTAACGGTTAATGTCCAACTCAGACAACTGTCATTTTTTTAATCGAAAATGTCGAGTTTAGAACATATGAAGTCATGTAACTATTTTATAATTTTTAGTAATCGAAGATTTAATAAAACAACTCCTTATAATCAACACTATTTTATAATTTTTAATAGTCAATAAATTGAATAATATAATATCTTATAATTGAGAAATTATGTGTATACTTTACTTGAAATTTTTGTCGGTAGAACCACAATTTAAGCAGGCTATGGAAAAGTTAGATGGGCTTTAGGTCCAGCTGCTCTGCATACAGCTGTCCAGTTATGTCCGAGTTTAAAAGTCCGGGGTTTTTAGACTATAGATTTCGCTTCGTTGTCTTGGTCTCTGAGTTGGACTTTTGAGGGAAATCAAAGCAACAATGGCTTCTTCAATGGCGATTAAAACCCTGGCAACATCACCCTTGACACGTTCTCCTTTCACAAAATCTTTGTCTTCACTTGTACGACTCGTATCCTACTCAACAAAGTCAGACAACGACGACGACGCCATCCCCACAGCAGGAATCAGCAGGCCGCTCTCCGACATTCTCAAAGAGCTCAATAAGAAAGTCCCAGATTCTCTTGTCAAGCTCCGCATTGAAGATGCTTCAATATGAAATACATCCCATGGTCCTCTCATTCTTCTCTCTTTATTTACTAAAATTGTTGTCTTCTTTCATTTGTCTTAGGCTTTGCAGTAAGTATCTAGTAGTTTTATGCCTGTAAATCACCCAGTGCTTTATATCTTGTTTGGAAGAAAAAAAAACAGAATTGAAAGGCTATGGTTTTCCCCTTTTCTTTGATACGGTGGGAGGCAAAAAGACTAAAGGATGAAACTTTTTGCTTGCAAGTTAGCTATGAGGAGCGTAAAAATGATTGCTGAAATTTTGGGTTTATGGTTTTAGTGTTGTAAGTGGAAGTTATCTATGCCGGTTTAGGGTTTGGAGCTTGGACTTTGGAGTCGAATGATCATTACCTTTGCAGCAAAATTCTATTACAAATGAAGTGTCATGTTTTGAAGCAATTGTTTGTTCGCTTGTTGACATAGCAAACTGCCGAGCTCAAGTAAAAGCAATAAATTATTGTTCCATGTCTGATTTTTTTTATTTTAGAGCCAAGCTTAATTTAATGTAGATATTCTAGTGTCATGTATGCTGTGGTGTATAACTTTTTCTGCACTTGATTTTGGAAGCATAGAACGCATATTGGCTATGCTTTTTGCATCTGTAGCATGCTTTGAATTTGATATCATGGAATCTGCCTGAGAAATTTTGTTGAAACATTTTCCTTCTTTTTCCTTAGCATTTTCGGTCTTCATGAGTTGGCAATGTCATCAGTTTCGCTTGTTCATTTCTGGTCTTCCATGGCATTCCACCTAAAATGGTTTTGGTTTACTTGGGTTCTTATCATCACGTTTTGCACTTTGCAGGCATATTGTGAATCGGATTATGAACCTGCATGCTCCAGGTATATTTATGATGGAATTATTCTTGCTGAAGGAATTGCATTTCTTACATTGGTTGGCTCCCTTTATAACTAAAAGCCTTAATGTTCCACAATTCTTCAGAATGGTCTGGCGAGGTTCGGCATATTACTTACTCTGCTGATGGGAAGTCTGTATCAGTCGTATATCGTGTAACACTCTATGGGACTGACGCTGAGGTATCTGTTCCATTTCATAATTCACACTATGAAATGCATGAAATGAAACTAGTTTTGATAGCTGACATGGATGCTTCTCCGTTAATCTTGCTTCTAAGCTGCTTTCCAAATGCTTCTTTCATTTTTTCTGATATAGTACTTTTTTTTTCTTTTTCTGAATTCACTTTCAGTGAACATGGTTTACTTGGTTTTGTGATTAGCCTTCTGTAAAATATGGGAATGGTCACTTGTCCTAATATTTAGTTGCTTTTAGATCAATAGTAATGGAGCCTCATCAATAATTGATTATTTTATTTTATAATAGGATGCTTACTATTGTTTTTTACTAATAGTTGAATTATGCATTTTATTGTTTAGAAAAGCATCGCATATGTAATTCTACATAGACAATTTTTGCTTTTGCATCCAAAAACATTGTCTTTAGGGTTTCCTTTTTGGTGTTTCTGGAAGCGAAAAAGCAAGTGGAAGAGCAACAATTGAACGTGATACATGCAATGATTCTGTTAGTTTCACCAGAAAAACGACCCTGTTTCTCATTTAAGGACTTTTAAAATATCTGTCTATATATGATACATGCAATCAAACTTCATGCATTCCTGTTAGTTTTACCAGAAAAACGATACTATTGCTCATTCCGAAGATAATATTTTCGGTGACAGTCTGTGAATCTTTCTTGAACAAGAAGATTGAAGGCAAGTTTGTTATGGAATAAGTTATGGAAATTAAACCTCTTAGGGCAACAGTTCATTGTGCTACAAGTTGAAAATGGCATATTGACATGCCATTGAGTCATATTTAGTCATTTTCTACTCTTATTGTTTGGTGCTTTACGAGATTGGTTTCAGTTCTGTAGGCCGTAAATCGAAGTTCCTTTCTTTGAATGGTTTTATCTGTAACGGGGTCTTTTCCGAAGAGTCTATTTATACCCCTAGCTTAAACATTATTTTGTAGTTCTCTTGCATAGTCCTAGATGAGAAAACTGGCTGGCTAGTTTAAGAGTTAAAACTCCTCAAAACCGAGGAGCAGTAACTAAACTTAATAAGTTCGATGCTTCGTTAGAATTTATTATTTCTAAAAGGTCACTGATACCATGACATTTTTATAAGAAAAGAATGTGAATCTTTTGATAAACTTACTTTTGAGATTATGCTTTATTATATGAATGCTTTGCATCTGCATGGTGATTGTTATTGTACTTGCATTTTGTTCCTGTATTTCTGGATGTGCTATTCTGTAGAAGAGAACAAATTGATGCAGGAGTTGTTTGCAGTCAAAGTATTGAAGGGTTATTAAAATGTATTGCATTTGATTGTCTTTTGCTTCTGTATTATTTCACCTATAGCATAATTATATCTGACTAGAGTAGCTGACAACTTTGAGTTTGTATCTTGTATCGTCACGCAAGATATATCGAGAGTCTACAGGAACTGCTTCAGCTGATGATACTGGCTATGGAGATCCTGTACAAAAGGCTGAAGCAATGGCATTTCGACGAGCTTGTGCTCGGTTTGGGCTCGGGCTTCATCTTTATCATGAGGACTTGTTGTAGAAAGCAGGGGGGGAGGGGGTTGCTTTTTCTTCTTCAATCAAAAGAAAAGACTAAATGGCTCTTGTGGTTTACTTGTGCCTTTTGGGGGCATACATGGTTCAAATAGCATAATGTTGCTATAATTTTTGTCTGGAAAGTATTGGTAGTGAAAGTAAACAACTTTTGGCAATGAACAAACAATTGGGTTTACCTTGTGATGTAACTTTGATACAATTTAAGCCTACTAATTAGATGTTTGTGGTTAAATGTTCCGTAACTAAAATGGACAAGCTGGATAGCCGGGTCAGACAGGTTGAACAAGCCTACAATTTCTGTGTTTATCCAGAGATTGAGAAGTTTTACACTGTGTACCCTTAATATACAATTAAAAAAAGATGTTATCGGTTTTGTTATTATTTAAATAATAAAATCGGTAAAAAATTACCTAAAATATTATTATTTTTATCTAAAATATTAATGTTTTTTAACATTTTCGATAAAGTGTCCAACAATAACGAAATCATAGAAAAAATAACAAAATGATAGAAATAATAATGTTTTCGGTAATTTTTTGCCGGTTTTGTTATTTAAATAATAGCAAAATCGATAGCGGTTTTTTAGCTGTATATTAATATTGTCGCACGTGATCATTTCCCCCATATATTCTTTTTAGGACAGAGCATTAATAATACAAATTTTTGTATGAGATAGAAATAAATAAAATTTCAGGATATGAACAATCAATAAAATAAATAATTAATCGAGCAAATTTTGAATTTTAGGGTGGGGGCGAATCCACCACTGTGTTTATATAGATGATTTTTGAGTGGTGTAGAAATGCTAAGAAACAGTTGTTGAATAAAAAGAGGAGTAGAAAAATGCCGATGTTGAGTTTATATTTTATTTAAAGAGTTAAGAATTTTTTTGATGTTTTTGTGGATAATGATCTAAGTAATTGTTGCAAAATAACAAATATTTTTGGAACTTTAAAGTATAAAATTTTCAGTAAAATTAGAGGTTTCAATAATTAAATTATATTTTTTTTATTTTATTTATGAGATATTTAAAATGATATATAATATGTTTAAAATAATTGAATGGTGAACGCTAAGTTATATGGAAATATTGTTGGGAAAAAAAGTAGAATCTTTAAACTTAAGCTTCTTCAAAAATTGTGCTCGATTAAACAAAAGTGTGGATGGAGTTCTCTCATGATCTCATGTTTAATAGAGCAGTGTGCTCTCAAGCAGAGACGGAACCATGTTATAGGTGGGAGGGGCAATTGCCCCTCCAACTTCGATGGTATAATTACCTTTTAAGTTATTGGTAATTTTGAAACTGTTGCAATTAAGCCCTTGTCCCTTCATAATATTTTGGTATTACTTATTTTTTTAGGACACTACCAGTTTTAAAATTAATGAAATTAAATCTTGATCGCAAATTTGTCTTATTTTATTACTTTTTTAAGACGAATTTTAAAATTTGTGAAATTAAACCCTTAATATCTTGCTTTTTAAGGTTTAATCACTTTCTAGACCTTATCATTTTTCAAAGTTAAACAACTTATCCCTTCATAGTTCAATCCAGGCTCATTCTCTACTCTCAAGCTGTTTGCTAACAACTTCGTATTCCATCTGGATTTCATTAGAACTTATATTTTCTTATCAAACTCAATCGTAGGAACACCAAACGAACAATGAGTACAGCAAATCTATCCTTTATTAACTTTAAAACATTCTATACAGACCAATTAGGAAGAGAAAGAAATCTTAAGACCATCTTCCACAAGTTTGCACGAAATGAACGTGTTATTTCCTGTTGACCCAAAAGCAAAGGCATTCATTTCCTTTGCTCAAACACGTAAAGTTCCAATTCCAAAAGACTTCATCCTACAAAATCTAACTTAAAAAATGAGCCCTAGTTATACATTTTAATTATTTCCAGCAAAGCATGAATGTTATAATTATAACCATCTTTAAAACAGCACGTGAAGTCAACATACATCCATGGAACCCTTGCTTCTAAGCAGTTGCATCATCCTAGCGATGCCAATGTCAGAAGAAGCTTCAGCCCTAGTTTGTCATGAAATGCAATTTGGTCAGAACACTCAGAAGCTCCCCATGTCGGTCAGAATCTTCGATGGCTCCTTTGTTTCTTAGTAAATGGTACAAATGGAGTCACCAGTCTCAAATTGATGGCCTCAGTTGATGTAAAATATCAAGCTGCTGCAACCAAAAAACTGGATTACCAACTGATCAAATTTCCATATATTATTGTTATGTGATAGTGATATCATTGAAGATGATTTGCAAATGAACTACGAACGAATCAAATAAAATTCACCAAAATTGCATGTAAAGAAATAAATTGCAGGCATCATTCATCTCATAGCAATGGCCAAAAACTATGAGAATGGCTAAACTAGTCAGCAGTAAAAAATTACCAGATATTCCTCTGCTACCCTCATGCTCACATGTTTCATTCCTTGTATTTCCAAAATCTCTTCCCTGATTCACACATTCCTGTTCATCTCCATTGCACTGGGAAATTCCTGCATCTCCTATTGTTTGCTCAAGTGGTTGGACACCTTGAGTTTCTCCTTGGGAGACTGGTTGAACAGCTAACCCATTACCATTCGCTGGATGAGATGACTCCTGACTGCTTGCAGCTTGAATAATAGGAAATTTATCAGGAGCTTTAGGAGAAGCGAGGACGGAAAGGCGGCAGAGTGGACAGGTTGTGTGGTTGGCAAGCCAATGGTCAATGCAGTCCATGTGAAATGTATGGCCACATGCAGGTATCTGCTGAAGTTTATCCTCTGCTTGGTAGTCCCCAAGGCATACTGAGCATCTGCAATAACAAAGATGATACGGTATCAGAAAGAGGATAACTTGGAAAGTAAAAGCCTACATTCTCTCATTTGGAGTCTCTGAATTTCTAACTGCAGGGGCTTGAACAGTTGCTTTTGTGCATACTGTTTCCCTAATCAGTTACCATGTTGATTTTAGTGGACCCAATAAGACTGTGCCAATCAGTTCTTTAGTAGTTATGACCTTAATCCTCAAGTCATCATTGACTGAACAAAAGACTGTCTTCTACAACAAGGTAGATTATCTAGCCAAACCAATTAATCAGCAGACTTCTGAAGAAAGGTGCTCTTCAATCATAGAGAAGTGTACCTACACAGCATCAAGGGGCTTCTTATGCATGAAAGATCTGTCAATCACTTCTCTTCTTGCAGTCTTCAGAGTAACATTCTTTTTCATCGGAAGAGTCAATCTATGCAGTTATTTTATGCAGCTTACATATGGGATATTTCTACGAGATGAAGTTTAGATGTTCAACAACAATTTGTCAAAAATACTTCAATCTCGTTAATGGAAAATCGAGATGATATAACCAAACTAGCTCCAAGATTATAGTTCTTACAACAGAATATGCTTGCTTCCTGCTCATACTAAGCCAACTTATATTAACGATAATACCATGTGGCACTGTGTACCAATTCAATAGTTAATCTCATAAAACAATCGCTACCTTACAATAGCGATTTAAAGTTGGATAACTTCCATTATGAATTTCCAAAGAAAACACTTGCAACCTTTTTTCATATTAGACATGTGAGACGCCTTGAAAATTTCAAATTATCATGTATTTTAAATTTTATGTATTTTTTTATTAATAACTTGTCTTCTACTCTAAAATTTTATAAGTTCATCTCCTCAATTTTAGAAGTTCGCCAAACCTAGTACAAAATCCAGCATCCGTAGCTGGACAAGTGCATCACACTCTAAAGCTATAGGACATCACTTTCCTCTTATAACGTTCCATTTAAAAATCTGTGGAGATGTAAAGAAAGAAAGAGTTGAAAAGAAGGGTAACTCACTGAGTATCTCGGATAGAGAAGGTCTCCTTGTATATAATAATGGGTAGCATCTCTCTTACTTCTTTCTTGAGCCCCAATTCAGCCTGTCAAAACCAACATTAACAGATGTTATTAACTTGGAAAAACACTTCAGAAAAAGAGGAAAAGAATATGAAGAATCAAACCATGGGTAAGGAGAGATCAGAGTCAAGGCCTGGGGATGTTCTCATTATAAGAGATGACCAATCAGCTCGCCGGCGTCGAAGATAGAACAAATAGAACATGAACAGAAGAATGAAAGCAAAGAAAATGGGGACCGAGAAAATAAAAGCTTGATACAGCTTAAGCTCTGCTGAAACACTCGAAGAAGAAGAAGACTGAGAGCCGGATCAGATAAAGATGGAGACATCATCAAACAAATCCCCCTTTTCTTCTTTCTTTTTTTCAACACAAAACACCAAAAGCAAGCAGATCTGTAATGAAAAAAGAAGAAGCAACTAGTCAATGCAGATTTTTCTTGGGAAAAAAAATTGGTGCTTTAATTGTGTATAGAGAAGAAAGAATACGAAGCAGATGATTAGAGAGATGGGAGTAAACCCCCCAAGATTAGATCTTTCCAAGTGTTGGAGCTTCTTTCTGTAATGGAGATGGAACCAACAAATCACAACTCCAAAAGTAAAAAAAATACCCAAAACCGTGGAACTGAGTAAATTGCAATTCGACGCAAACGGTATTTTAACCCTCCATCCCATCAAAATTTAATTCAGCTTTTACGTCGAAATCACGTCCAATTGAGTCATCCGATCTAAAATATCTATTAATGTCGGATTTACAATAGGGTAAAGTATACTTTTAATACTTAAACTATTATTGTTATTTTATTTTGGTATCCAAACTTTATATATTTTTAAATCATACCTAACGTTTAGTTTATGTTTCAATTTGGTTTCCCGTCGTTAAAAACTTAATGGTAATGTTGATGTGTCATTATAAGGTAATGTAACAATATCATTGAAAAATAAATAATGTCACGTCAATAGTTCTGTTAATTTTTTAGCAAAGGATATCAAATTGAAACCTAAACTAAACGTTAGTATGATTTTGAAAAAATAAAGCTTGGTACCAAAACGGAACAAATGTAATAGTTAAGGTACTAAACATATAGTTTACCCTTTAAAATATTATTATTTTTAAAGTTTTTTATCATTTTTATTTTTTATAATTAAATATTTTTAAATTTTATAAAAAATAATTAAATTATCAAATTTATAAAAAAAATTAGATTAAAAATGTTTAGCACCCCGACTATCACTTTTATTTCATTTTGGTTACTCAATTATTTTCTATTTCAAAATCATACTTGACATTATGTTTTGATTTTATTTTGGTCACACACTATTAAAAAATTAACAATGGTACTGATGTGTCACCGTAAGATAATGTCATGTAATTATTGAATTTTTTTAAAATATATCACATCAGTAGTTTTGTTGATTTTTTAATGATAAGTGACTAAAATAAAATCAAAATATAATACTAAGTATGATTTTAAAAATAATAAAAAATTGGTGATTAAAACGAAACAAAAATAGTAGCTGAGATATTAATGAGTTTTCCCAAATAATTAAACTCTCCTATTACTTCATTTATCACATAAATATTATTAAATATTATATCAACACCGTAATAAATAACGATGATTTACATCCATTCAAAAGATAACATTAATAAACTTTTAGAATTTAACGACTCAATTGGATAAAATTTAAGAGCTAAAATATCGCTTAAGCCAATTAGGTAGAGTATTACATATTATTAATTATTTTTTAATATTTTGATATGTTAATTATTTTCTTTGCATTATATGCAATAATTATTTTCAGTTGTATAGCATGTCAATTAAGTTTTCATGTTGATATTTAGTTTTATGTAGATTTTGACACATTTGGATATGTGTAATATTCATATTCGTGTGGTATTTCAATTTATGTTTTATTTTATATCATTTATTATATATTTCATATATACTAAAAGTATTTGTTCATACTGTATTATCATGATTTTTTCTCATGTTGGAAATATTATAAATTATATATATTTTACATGTTGGTAGTTCATTTTCTGTAAATTTAAAATATTCAATATCCATCTCTATATATCTTAAATTACTTCGTAGTTTACTTAATATATTGGATGATTTAAGTTTTAGTTTAAATTCATTTACTCTTTCTTATGTAAATATAGTCTCTAATTTTATTAAAAAGAAGATAATATTTAAAATTATAATGAAAATTTTAAATTAAGCCTATAATTAAATTTTTTTATAACTAATAACACAAAATAATTAGTCATTCGAGATCATAGAAGGACCGTACAAGAAAAAGATTAAAACCTAACAAAAAATTGAACAAAAGATAGATACAAATAAATCTGATTACATCGACAAAACAACCATAATAAGGGATTAAACTATCTACGAATGCAAACCATATATTAAAGTCCAATCCAAATGTTCAAAGAAGGGAAGATAAACAGAATAATAAATAAATATTATCTTGATCATCGTAATAACGTCAAATACAATCCTGAAAAATTAAATGAAAGAAAAAAAGGATCAAACGATCGATAAAGAAAATAAAAATGTGTCATAAATGCTTAAAAGCATACCATAGAGATAGAATTATTGAAAACTAAAAGGAAAAAGATAAAAAAAAAAAATTTGATATAAAAGATAGTAGAGAAAATAAATCATATAGAAGATCGATGATCAACACTAAAATTAGTATTGTCGCTATCGATCAAAGAAAAAAATAAAATTTTAGGGCCAGCAGCGAGAATATAGTTAAAATTAAATTCATTTACTTAAAAATTAACTCATTATATCTATAATATATTAATGTAAATATTTAACATTAATTACTTTCTTCTAGGTGGAGTGCGAGTATATACTTGTATGAAACGAAGATGACCGATTTCAATTCTTGCCCCCTTTAACAAAACAACGCTACATGTTTTTATTTTCTCTTGTATTAGTGATTTTTTAAAATAATAAGAGTAATTAATTTTATGGAATAAATAAAAGCACAATATAATAAATTATAATCTTAGGTGAAGAAAAGTCATTAAAATAAAAATCGATTAATCACATTAATAATTTATTTTTCTCTATAATCATCATAGAACACAAATTAACTATTAAATAATAAAATATGACAAAACAAGAAAAGAGTTTAAAAACTTAACTAAACAATCTAGAAGAACAAATGATATAAATAAACATCATTATCGACGGAGAAAAATAAATAATATCAACACTAACATAAAAATAAATATAATGATGGTCATACGTTGACAAGTGACTTTATCACAAGCCAAAAACGATATATATGGATGATTGTGAGTGTATATCGATATAAGAAAATAAACCTAAAAGATCCAGATCAAGAGTAGAAATAACTAAATAAACATGAGAAACCACGTTAAATTTAATTCAAAAAAATTATTTATAAAAAAATCCATCATTTTTATTAGAAAGTGAGAAGATTTATTAAATAAAATAACACAAAACTCAAATATGTAAAATATTAAAAAGATGAAAAGAGAAAAATGATGTGGAGTAGAACACAACAAGAGCTAGTATGGACAGTATATCTGACACCTTCTTCACAGCTTCATTTACTCTCCAGCCGCATTAGTCCCTACATTATAGCAGTTAACTGTCTGTCGCCGGTTACTTGAATGGTTGAAGGCTGTCGCCTGCCGGTCACAGCTCCTCTCTCAGCGACTTGAAGCCACCGCGCCACCACTCAAGCACACACCGTTCGGCTGGAAATCAATAGGTAAATTCTTGTTCTAACTTTAATCGGTAAATTTTAGAGTAAAATATATCAATTACAGTGACTAGGCGGGCTGCAATTTGTGTTTATGAAACCTTTAAAAAGTTTTTTTTTTTCATTTTGAAGGCTATAAAGAAGCTTGTTCTAATTTTATATATCTAACCATTGCAAACTTGAATATGAAATAGAGTTTCTTGCTTGTTTAATAGAAATTTTTTACTTGGATTATGAAAGTGACACCGAGTACAGCTTTGGAAATTACTATTGAAACAAACAATACAGCCAACCCTATGCTTTATTGAAGACTTTGTTTGTTGTTCTTTTATGCTATATTTCACGGGAAGAGCTTATCAGTTTTGAATTATCATATTTCTGGATGGTCTTAGTATGAATTTCTCTTTTTTAATTTTATGATGATATATACGTGTTTTATGATGATATATACGTGTTATACAGTCAATTTAAAAGCTGCAAATTTTCTTTTTATGTGTTCTAAATGTTTCATTATAGTTTTGATTGTTCTTGAAGCTATGGGTTTGCCGGAGAGGTTTAGGGGGTGAATCAAGGCTTGTTTGACTTCATCTGATTCTTTATTGCTTTCAATGGTAGCCTTGTGGGGTATTTTAGAGGCACTAGGGGTGCAATAAGGGGATCCGTTTTCCCTATATCTCTTCGTTCTTGCAATGAATATGTTGTCTAAAGTGTTGGACGTGACGGTTGATGATGGTGTCTTTCGATTTCATCTAAAATGCAGGAAGATTGGTTTGACGCACATGTGCTTTGTCGATGACCTCCTTATTTTTTGCTAAGGGTTCTCTTGATTCTATGGTCGGCATTCAGAGTGTCATAAACTGCTTCTATGAGATGTCTGGCCTTAGATAGTTAGATTAAATGCTGGAAAATGTGAACTATACTCTTCTGGGATTCTTGCGGAGGAGGTGGAGTCCATGCATACCAACTCGGGGTTTAAGCTTGGTACACTTCCTCTGCGTTACTTGGGGGTGCCGTTGGTCACGAGGAAGCTGACGGAGCATGATTGTCAACCTCTCATTAATAACATTAGTAGGAGGCTGGAGCATTGGTCTAGCAAAAAATAAGTTTTGCTGGAAGACTTCAGCTTGTGCGTTCAGTGTTGTTCGGGGTCGTGAATTTTTGTACATGTAATTCATGCTTCCTAAAGCTGCGGTGAATAGGATTGATCAACTCTGCTCCTGATTTTTTTTTGAAAGAACATGACATCCCTGCATTGGAAGCAAAAGTTTGTTGGAGATTGGTTTGTTTGCCAAAAGTTGAGGGAAGGTTAGGCTTAAAGTGTTGCGGAAGACGGCTATCGGATAGAGCAAAATCGCAACTGATAATTTGAGAAAATAAAAATGAAGATAAAAAGAGACACAAAATTTACGTGGAAAACCCCTAAATAAAATAGGGTAAAAACCACGGGCAACGGTAGAAGAATTTCACTATGAGAAAATAAGAATTACAACATCTCTCAATCTACCAAGGAGAAAACAATGATAATTCTCTCTCGATAAAAAGGAGAAAACAACTCTCAAGAAACTCTCTAAATTCTTTCTAGTATTGGAAGAAAGCTAGAATGCTTTGGGATGATTTTGAAGCTAAATGAGCTAGGGTATTTATAGTTGAAACTTAATGACTAATTTGTAAATACCTTAACTTACAATGGCTAAAATTGAGGTTCTACCATTGTTGAAAAATCAACAATTTCTGTAGCCTTTTCTAAATGTCAACAAATGTTGCCACCAAATAATTTCCACCGAAAGTTTGGTTTACTTTCGGTGATGCCACTTATTTTCAACAATCTCCCACTTGAAGATTTGATTGGAACAATCATATCTTCACACAA